AAAAGGAATAAAGTACTGATACATTATTCCAAGTGAAAGACAGACACAATAGGCCACATACTGTTTGAGTCCACTTATATTAAAAATCCAGACTAGGTTAAATCCATCTATAGAGAAAGTAGATTAGTGCTTGCCAGAGATGGGGTGGGAGGAATGAGAAGTGACTAATAATAGGTACAGGATTTCTTTCTGGGGTAACAAAAATGTTCTGGAATTGGATAGTGGTAATGACTTTCAACCTGGTGAATATATTAAAAACCACTGAAATATATATATATTTTTCATTTATTTATTTAATTTTTTGGTACCGGGGATCGAACTCAGGACCTTGCACTTGCGAAGCAGGCGGCGGAACCAATGAGCTAAATCCCCTGTCCTTGAATTATATATTTTAAAAGAGTGGACTGTGTAATCTATAAGTTATCTCAAAAAGAACAAAACTTTCACAGTTGGATAATAAAGAATATGAAATACTATAATGACCAAAACAGGACACTGGAACATTTAGGATCCACAAAACATTTTCTACTAAAAATTGAAAAACTGACTTCCTGTAGTAGCTAAAACATGCAGAATCTTTTTTCGGTTCAGTGACTTGAAAAAAATTTCTTGAACCAAAGCCATACCTATGTAATGAAAAACAAGTCAAAAACCATGAAAAACATGCTGTTCTAATTTTTTTACTGCAGTACTATACACTATACACTGAAATTCATTCAGTAGAAAAACCGATACAAGCAAGCAATCAATATTAATGAAGTACCTAAAGCAAACTCATAGCCTGAAGAGATTTATATGATCTTTACTGCACTTCTAATCATTTCCAGCTTTAACAAATTGCACAGCTCTAGACCTACAGCCATTTCTATTGTAGTTATGTGGAAAGTTGCCCAAAATGGTCCCGATCAAACAACTTTATCTCTTGTCATTTTACTGCTAAGATTCATACAACCATTTGACAAATTTGCATAATAAATGTGTAAGAATATATGTGCTGCCGAAGTGAGCACTAAATGTATAAGAATAAGAGGCTTAAATATAAAGAGAGAAAGGACACTGTTCATTAGATTAACTAAATTATCACAGCACACAGTTGATGTTTGAGGAAGAAATCCCCTAAAGCGCTTTACATTTGTTTGCCTCCTGCTGAGAGTCAGGAAGAGAGACCACAACAAGAGAGAGAGAAAGGCCTGTACATTCTTCATCACTTCTAAAACCCTAGCAAAAACAGCACAAATTCCAGAGCTTTCCCAGCTCCTGCAGCATTATTTAAGTAGGGTATTATTCAAATCGTTGGAGCTTAAAATTTCTCCAAAAAACTTTAATGATTATCCTTTTTAATAACACTCAGCTTTAAGTGTCTATCCACAAATAATCATCTAGGTTTATAACTCTACTTAGCTGGCTATTTTGACAGAGCTGAATTGTCAACTGCTTTGTTTAGTTGAAGGGAAAAACATGTAAATTTCTACCTATAAAAGAAAATGATTTTTTTTTAAGGAAATGATTTTAAAATGTTAAAGTATATGTACATATAAAAATCTTATATATTTTACATATGACAAAGGTTATTATTGTAAGTATACAGGCTGATTTTGAGTAAAATTACACAGTTGCACAACAATCACCACAAAAAATTCCCTCATGCTTGTTTGCAGTTAGGGTTTCTTTTACTGTGGGAGATCTACCAATTTCAGATGAAATGCTAAGAGGCTACTCACTCTTTTTGGAAGTCTCAGAATAAAAGGAGAGCAAGGCTTGTCAATAGAGACAGCCCTAGTAAAACCCCAAAGATTGAATTGGGGTCCAGAAAGGCTGCATCCTAGGGATAAAAGTGAACCAGAAGTAAACCACAACATTCCAGTTTCAAGTCATCTGGTGGTCCAGAAAAAATATGAATCTCTTAAATTTGAGGTGATTAAAATAATCCTGAATTAGGGCATGATGGCATATGCCTGTAATCTCACTACTTGGGAGGCTGAGGCAAAAGAATGGTCCCAAGCTCAAACATAGGCTACGTAGTTAGTTCAAGGTCAGCCTGCACTATACTGTATAGCAAGACCTGCCTGAAAAACAAAACAAAACCAAAAGCTGGGCATGCGGGAACATGCCTATAATCTCAGCACTTAAGGAGGCAGAGGCAGAAGGATTGCCTTGCTTTCAAGGCCTGGGCTACATAGTAAGTTCAAAACCAGCCTGAACTACAATAGCAACACCCTGTCTCAAAAATACAAACAACCCCTACCCCAAAAAAAGAAGGAATAAATAAGTTATAATGTCATTAGAAAATATTTTGAGCTAATTATATATAAAATTATATATAAAATATTGTATATAATTAAAATTATTCTTAGAGAAGGTTCTAGACTTAATTGAAAATGTTAGAATGAAGGCAGGCTGAGAATTAAGCTAACTACTATGTGAGAAGATATAGGAAATAAAAAATAACGAAATAAAGTTGAAGAAAGTCAATAAAAAGCAGAAATGAATGAACCAGAAAACAAGTATCAGAAGAATTAACAAAGCCAGAACTTGGCTCTTGGCAAAGATTAATAAAATAGGTAGGCCCTTGGGAAATCTGATCAAAAGGAAAAAAAAAGTAGCCAGCTTATAAATTTAAAGCTGGGTGTGGTAGCACATGCCTGTAATCCCAGCACTCTGCTGAGGCAGGAGGATCACAAATTCAAGGCCAGCCTGAACTATATAGTGACCATGTCTCAAAAAAAAAAAAGATATTACAACTGATCCTGCAAACATAATAAAAATATTTTCTGACTTTATGCCAACAGTTTTGGAAAGATTGAGGAAATAATTCTTAGAAACATACAACTTACAAAAACCAATATAAGAACAAAAAATTTTAAGTTACGAGACAATTTTTTAAAAATTATATTAATAATTTAATTACTAACCTGAATTAAAATTCATAACTCAAAGCTTCCTACAAAGAAATCTCCAGGATCAGATGGCTTTGCCACAAAATTTTACTAATCATGGGGCCGGGGATTTAGCTCAGTGGTTCCAGCGCCTGCCTCACAAGTGCAAGGATCCAAGTTTGATCCCCAGTACCCCAAAAAAAAAAAAAAAAAAAATTTTACTAATCATTTAAGACAGAAATAGTTCTAATTTTATACAAAGAATTTTTCTTTCGGTCCTGGGGAACTGAACACAGGCAAGTGCTCTGCCACTGAGCTACATCCCCAGCGCTATACAAGTTATTCTAGGGACTGAAGAGAGACAGAGAAATAGACAGACAGCAGCCTTTAACACGTTTTTAAAAGTAGTAATAAGGGAAAAGTAGACACCAAAAATATAAAGAAAAGGAAGGAACACACATAATTAATGTCAGAATAGTAGTTACCTTTAGGTAGGAAGGAGGCAGTTGTAATTGGAAAAGGGTCTGGACTTCTGGGCACTGATAGTGTTGTTTTCTTACCTCAGTGGTTGTTTCCCAGCATTGCTTTTTTTTTTCTTTTGATACTGGGGATTGAATTTAGGTCCTTTGCAATGAACTATATCCCCAGTCCTTCTCTATTTTTGGAGACAAGGTCTCACCAAATTGCTGTGTTGCCTGGGCTGGGCTCAAACTTGGGATTCTCCTGCCTCAGTCACCCAAAGTATAGAGATTATACCATCAAACATTTGCTTTACAATTAATCATTGAAATTCAAGTTTCTGTTTTGTATACTTTGCTGCATATGTATTATAATTCATAATAAAAATTTAAATTTATAAAACCACTTTTTTTTTTTTGGTACCGGGGATTGAACTTGGGTCCTTGCGCTTGCGCAGCAGGCGGCAAAACCACTGAGCTAAATCCTGGGCCTGATAAAACCAGTTTCACTTACAAGAATAATATAATACTTGTTGCTATAATACTAGCTTCGTGTTTTGTTTTGTTTCTTGCTTTTTGGTAGCAATGCAGATCAAACCCCTCAAACGTGCGCTAGGCTAGTGCTCCACCACTTGAAGATAATCTTTCAGAGAATAATCTCTTTTTTTTTTTTTTTGGTACTGGGGATCAAACTCGGGACCTTGCGCTTGCAAGGCAGGCAGCGGAACCACAAAGCTAAATCCCTGGCCCCAGAGAATCATCTCTTTACTCTCTATTACCTTCTAAGTTCTATTAACACATACTATACTAGCATTAGGGTATATTTTGTAGTAAGGGGATCAATTTTTTTTTTCAGTATCAGGGATCAAACACAGGCCTTGCACATGATAGCCAAATGCTCTACTACTGAGCTACAACCCCAGTCATCTATTCTGGAATATTATATACTCCTAACATAGAGGCACTATTTGTAAAACACAGACTTTAATCTTGGGTTTTGGGTGCTTCGGTATTTGAGTAATAACACACAAAGATTAACTGATAATTTGTGGTATACAACAGATAAGCAAATGAAGCAGGTAGTTTCAATTTTCCTGGGAACTTCTACATCTGTTTCCTGTCATGGATTGTTTTAATCTAATTATCTTCAGTTTTGTCTACACAGCCCTAGTTCAAAACCCAAGAATCTGTGTAGAAAAAAACTTTTACAGTAGCAGGAAATTGTTTAGTGATCTGAAATAAATGATTTTTTTATCAAGACCAAACCATTTTTGACTGTTTCTTCACTATAACTATAATAAAAGAGCAGCTAAGTGAGACAGTGTGTAACTCAGTAGCACAACACTTGCCTAGCATGCACAAGGTTCTTGGTTCAATCCCCACCCAGCACAATACAAAACAAAACAAAACAAAAAAGATAAGTGCTAAATAAACATAGTTCAAAATTCTTTAACAGCAATTACAAAGTCTATGGTAAACTTTATTGCTCTTATGCACTTTTCTAAATGCCTTTTAACATCTCTTTTAAGGTGAATAGTAAGCATCAAAATATAGCAGACTAAAACAGTTCTACCCCATTTATTGCAATCCAACCTCTGGTCTACATACTGTTATCAGTTTGATAAATTTAAAATAAAAGTAATATTTTCATCATAAAATTTCTCACTTTCGGAACATGAGGATTAAATTCCACAGCTCTATGGATTGCTTCCACAGCACTAATTTCTGCTGTGCTCAACCCTCTTCTGGAGGCTGTTTCTGGAGAGAATCTGTAAGAAAACCACAAAATGAAGAAATGAATATATCAATGAAGGAAAAAATTATGGATTTAGATCATAATGTAGCCCCCTGAATCAAAGAGGTTTCTTGGAATGACCAAAGACAAAACCAGCTAACTACTAAAAATGGAAGTAAAACCTTCTGGTTCAATATATAAAACAATGTAGCACAAAAAATAAAAATCTTCAAATTTAGGTAAAGAAAGCCTTTGTGGGGAAAGTGATACAGTAAGAAATACTATAAAATAGAAGTAGAGTATTTTTTATCGAATTTTTATCCCAAAAGAAACAGTTCGGATCTTTCATTCTTATCAAGCCTTAGTAATCTAAAATGAAAGAAAATAGTCACCACTTGTTTGGTTTGTCAATATCTGGCAGGTTTTGTTTGTTTTTGAGGCAGGGTATTGCCAAGGCACCCATTCAGTTTCTGAATATCTTATCGACAAAATAAAGATAATACCTTAAGGGGAGTCAAAACTACAAGAAAAGCAGAATAACTCAATTACTGAATAATCTAAGAACAGACAACATGAAACCTATTTCCCTTCTACACACCTTATCATCATACCAACTATTACATTTGCACTTTCTTTCTAGACACTGCTTTAGGCACTTAACACACATGATCCTCACACAACCACTCTACATTATGAGAAAGAAATGCCAAATAATTAACTTGGCCAAACTTCTATGGCTAGTATGTGGTAGAGTTTGAATTTAAGCCTCAGATTTCTTAATTCTAAAAACTTTTCATTCCACTACACACAATGAATAGCCTCAAAGCCACCGAAGATTAAGAGTTAATCAGAAGAAGAGAGGAAAAAGAGCACTGTTTAAAGTCAGTAGAAGAAAACCAATATTGAATCTAGCAATCTTTCCAAATTATTGTAGTTTTCATAACTACTTACTTATCTGAAACAGTCCTCGTTTTCAACAGTGCTGCTGTGTAACAGATTGCTGCTGACTTTGGAAGGCTTATATCTGTAATAATAATTTTTAATTATTTGCAAAAATGTCTTAAAGATAATTTTTCATAAGAATAACTCCTAGTGGAAATTAATAGACGCAATATAGTAGCAAAAGCACCTGGAAACATTGTTCAAAGACCTGAGTTTCAATCTTGATTCTACTACATAGTAGTTATGTATCCCCGAGCTAGTAGCAACTTTTTTGATCTCAGTTTTCTCTTCTCAAAACAGAGAACATACTTTCTGCCAGAAATTCAATTATGCCTATAAAAGCCCTCTGTATAATGGTGACAAGGGCTAAAAAAATGTTTATAATAATCTGCTTATAATAAGACTATTCAGGGGAAAAGTCATAGCATAATTAGAACTATGTGAAAACTCCACCTATTCATAGAGGAAAAACTGAGGAAAAAAGTTAAAAATTTAAAGATTTTTACACTTAAAAATTTTAAAATGGGCTGGGGATTTAGCTCAGTGGCGCCATGCCTGCCTCACAAGTGCAAGGTCCTGAGTTCGATCCATGGTACCAGAAAAAAAATTAACAATAAGGGTGATTTTAATTTTTCCATTTCCTTACTTTGTCTTTTATTTTTTGTTTCTGGATACAGAGTTTCACTATGTAGTTTAGGTTAGTCTTGAACTCACTATGTAGCCTAGGCTAGCCTTCAACTCGAAGCCATCCTCCTGCCTCAGTCTCCCAAGTGCTGGGATTACAGGCCTGTGCCATTATGCCTGGCTTAGATTTTGTATCTTCTTTATTTTCTTACATGATTTTTTAAAAATAAAATGAAAAATTAATCTGGTACTATAAATAAGCAATAAAAATATTTTTAAAAAGAATGCCTAAGGACCGGGGATTTAGCTCAGTGGTTTCGCCACCTGCCTCACAAGTGCAAGGTCCCGAGTTCGATTCCCGGTACCAAAAAAAAAAAAAAAAGAATGCCTAAAATATTGCTATAAGAAGAGTAATACTGATGAACCCTTTTGGTGTTTTCAATTCCAGCATTACACTAACAAACTGCGAATTAAGAAAGTAAATATAGGGCTGGAGATTTAGCTCAGTGGTTCTGGCACCTGCCTCGCAAGTGCAAGGTCTCGAGTTCAATCCCCAGTACCAAAAAAAAAAAAAAAAAAAAAGAAAGTAAATATACCCAGTCCCAAGTTCAAACCTCAGTACCAAAAAAAAAAAAAAAAGTAAATATGCTTTCAGCTACACTTCAGGATACCACAAAGGTAAAAACTAGGACTCACAAAAACTGAACACAGAAGTACACCAACTTAGGGTTTATTAATTTTAGTTTTATTTTTTATGAAGCATGTCCTATTCTGACTTTTTATATTAAGTCCCTAAGCCCGTTTGGCACAAATATCATGACCACGCACCCAATAAGTTACATATGGAAAGAATTTCTCACAAATTTCTCTATGAGCTTACATTATACTGAAGCACTGCCTAAGAATTCCAGATGTTTAAAAGAAATAAACTTCCCTTTCCAAGTATAACACATTTCAAACTTTCCAACTCATAAGGATTCCCAAGCTAATGGGTAGGAACCTACAACAGGACAAGTATGACTAAGTGACTTATATGTATTTTGTTATAATGAAAGATATGACTAGAAATATTATGCTTGTTATGAAGTTTTCACCTTGGGATTAAAAGCTGTTGTCTTACTCTAAATGAGGAGAAAGTCCATGTGCCTTTAAAATTCTCCCAATTTCATTTGCAGTAAACTTGCACTGTTATAGCATAATAATAAAAACAGCCCATGTAAATTGTTATTAATGGAAGACTAATGAACAAAGAAGCAGAATACCTGGATTTAGGTATTTACTGGCTATGAGATATTACTCAAAATTCAATCTTCTTAAACTTATTTCCTAATTTAGTACTGTAACTGGAAAGAGTAAAAATACTTATCCTACCAATACCTCACAAGATTATTATAAGAATCACATGAGACTATAAATTATGGTTTGTAACTAAAGAGAACTGGAAAAATATTATTCTGAATTGCTCTTAAAATACTGTTAAGCAACTTTTACTAGCCTTCCTTGATTCTCCAAAACAAACAATACACTTGACTAGGCATACAGCACCTATGCTTTTCTAATTATCTTACTTATAAGCTTTCAATGTAATTGCTGTTCATTTGTCCACATAACACTAAACTGTAAATTCTACAAGGGCTAAATCCATGTCGTCCTGTTCACTATTGTGTTCAAATGCCTTACACATATTAATTACTTAATAAAAGAACAAATCTTGGGCCAGGGATTTAGCTCAGTGGTTTCACCGCCTGCTGCGCAAGCGCGAGGACCCGAGTTCGATCTCCGGTGCCGGGGCGGGGAAAAAAGAAAAAAGAACAAATCTTGACAGAAGAAAATTCCTCTTTTGTAGGCTTTGGCTGCTAAAAGTCCTCATAAATAAGATACTTAATAGCAACTTGTACTCATGCTTACTAAATACTGACTGGTAAAAAGAGAAAGAGAAAATTAGAAAAATACTAGAATAGAATATTTATAATTACATAATTGAAACAAGACTACTGTAGCTACGTTATCAACCAAGACAAATAAAACTCACCATCATATTTTGCTAGGACTGCCTGAACATCCGCATAGGCCTGTAATTCTAAAAGTGATTCTAATAGATTTTCATGGATGTTCAACATGGTAAGAGGAGGAAATTCTTTCATCAACTATATATTAAAAGGAAAAAAAAGATTAAAGTCATAACAGAGGAACACAAAAGAGCTGAAACATTCATTAAACTAGAAATTCTTTTGCTTCGTTATAAAACTGGAGACTCAAACCTTAAGAAATATATGTATATTAAATAAATACTTTGGTATAATAATTGCCAATTGAAAATGATTCTGTACTAATATAACTGCCAACTTAAACTACATTTTTAGATTTGGAGAAAAAAATATGATAGTTCAGTAACCACATTTACTTACATCTCTCATTATTTTTACTGCTTCTCTTATTCTTCCTAATTTTCTTGCACACATTGCCAATCTTCTTTTAATGTAAACTAGTACATTGGTATCTCTTCCTATTTATAAAAACAAAAAATGATACAACTATCACTTTTGTGTTATGGCCTGCTAGTTCATTAACATATTATTCATTAACTTTATTTGCTTACTCTGGAGAATTCAATTAAAATTTAATTGTGGCAGAATGGAAGAATATTAATGATTGTGATTACTAAATTTGAATGATGAATATTGAATGGTTGTTCTCTCTACTTTTGTGTATGTTTGAAGTTTTCTGTATTAAAAGCTTAAAGTATATATTGGATTACTTTTGCATCTAATAGAAATCCAGTAGTATATAAATCCAGCAGTATATAAAAAGTAATTTGTATTTGGCACATTCATTTTAATATTCACAGAAGGGAAATATATATATTAGTAGAGAGACATAACATTAGCTTACTCAGTTTTGGCATAAACAATCTATAAAATAATATTCTCTTGTTTTAATTGAAAAATTCAAAATTCCCAAAACAAAATTTTCATGAGTTAAAAAAAAAAAAAAAATTTTCATGAGTAATAATTTTTCTTAATAGCTAGTAACTAACAAATTATTAAACTGTTTCTAGAAAGGGATAACAAAATAGTAATACTTGATCTTACACAAGGACAAATGCCAGGCCTTTTTATAGATGTAGTTTCATTACATCTAGTAAAATGAGAAAGAAAAAATGGAACTCCAGGCTGCAAAATTAAAAATTCCCACAGTTGTGTGTAACAACATACATTAATGAAACATACTGTATTCACCAATATTTTAGGGAAAACATTATCCAAATTTTAATTTCTACAAACATTCACAATTTATCTGGTAACAGACAGTGCATTATATAAACATGTTTCAACTTATTGCCCATCATTTGCCAAAATCATGAAACTAAAACCCACTAGGTCACACATACACACAAAAAGCAAGGAGCAGCAACATTGCTGATTCTAGTATCTTTGGTAAAAATGTCTCACTTATGCCAGGCATAGTGGATGCTTGTAATGCCAGCACCTGGGAGGCTGATGCAGGAGGACTGGCACGAGTTTGAGGCCAGCCTGGGCTATATAGTGAGTTCAAGGCCAGCCTGAAATTCACAGTGAGATCCTGTCTCAAAAAAAACAAATTTAAAAAAAAAAGGTCTCACTTATAACCTGGAAAGCATCCCTAAGAATGGAAAGAAAACTTCACTTGTTATGGTCCATCTGATCCTAAATATATCATGGAAAAAAATAAACCAGAAAAAGAACCAAAGTCACAAGTAAGGTTGAATTTTGTGTCTAGAATCAGATGGTGTGGAAAAGGCTGAAGAGCAAACAAAATGATGTGCCTGGGCAGGAGGTGGGGTTGTGGCTCTACTATTGTTTTGACTGAAGCTGAAGATAAAGGTAAGACTTATCATCAATAGGATCTTCTCTATACTAATTATCATCACTAGAAGGTTCTTCTGAATCCTAAGCTTTTTTGACTTATGTTTCTCTAATGACCAGCCCAATTCTTGCATAAATTATTATTAAGTCTCAGAACAGCATATTTTCTCTCAATAACCACAACAGATATATTCTTTTCCACAAGCATTTCTGTCTTGCTAGCCTGCAGGCATTCATAGAGTAGAAATAACAAGTCTATTAGTTATATCTTATGAAAATTAGCTAACCTCTCTATATTAAGTATGTTTAATCATTATTGTTTTGCATTTTAAACATAAAAGATCCAACTACAGGAGAGAAAGACAGTAAAAATCAGTTCAAATTTGCTTACTCAGTTGAGCTTCATGCTGAGGACTTTGGTGCTGGCACTGCTGTGACCGCTTATAAATCGTTTCTCCTGCCTTGAGCGCCTGTTTAAATAACCTTTCAGCATCTACAATAGTTGTTGCTTCTTCCTCAGCCAGTAGAACATATGCTGTGGCACAGCTATGAAGAAAACAAGCAAGGGAATTTTAAGTAAAATGGTAAAGCAAGAATTTTCTCTTGGGTATATCCCTTGCTCTATATCATGTTTCCCTTACACTTACCAATACTTTCCACCTCATGAACAAAAAAACAAAAAGAAAAAAATTCAATATTTTAATTATATGAATACCGTTTATGAAATGTTTTAAGATTTGTCTTCTGTCCTAATGTTCTTCTAAGACTTTTATTTTCCGTGTAGGAATTGTAATTACTTTTCTTCATTTTTTTCTGGAACTCTGATCACATGTATGTAGATTGCATGATAGTGTTCTATAGTTTGCTGATATTTTGAAGGGTTTTCTTT